AATGTTTCCGCAATGTCCACAACCTTTTCCGCAAATGTTTCCGCAATGTCCACAACCTTTTCCGCAAATGTTTCCGCAGTATCCGCAACTTTGTCCGCACATGTTTCCGCATTATCCACAACTTTGTCCGCACATGTTTCCGCATTACCCACAATGATTTTCCACAAATATTTGTGGAAACAGCTTGGTGTGGAAAAACCTGTGCCGCAATTGCTGCGGAAAAACATTGTTGTGGAAAAAAGTGTGTTGTGGAAAACCTGGGTGTGGAAAAAAGGCCCTGTTGTGGAAAACATTGTTGTGGAACAAAGTGTGTTGTGGAAAACCTGGGTGTGGAAAAAAGGCCCTGTTGTGGAAAACATGGGTGTGGAACAAATGTCGGCGAACACATTGTGGAAACATGCTGTTTGCGTATAACTCTGCTCAGGAAAACGAATCTGAATTTTCGCAATCTACTTTTTTTTTAATATTGTTTTTTTTTTGCGCGCGCGCGCGCGCGCGCGCACCTGCACTTGGGCTGGAGGGGGTTGGGCCGGGGGTGGGAGGGGGGGGGGCCGGGGGGGGGGGGTGCTGGAAGGGCGGAGGGCCACTTTGATGCATTGTGACGACAGAGTATGCGGTGTTAGCCCAGGCACGGGCATTTGCAGCTTTGGCTTGGCTGAAGCCTAAGCTAAGCCCCTTAGCCCTTAGCCTTAGCCGCCTTAGCCCTTTGCCTTAGCCCTAAGCCTAAGCCTTCCTTGATTAAGCCACTCCAGTCACTCCACCCCACTGAGTGAGCATACTCTTTTCTTGTCAGAAACAATGGCAAGACTTGTTTTATTTCCCCCTTCCCGTTGCAGGTGCCTGCAGAGCAAGCGCGATGGCAACAGGTGCTTCAGTTTAGATCATCGTCTGAGTGGGATAGCAGCATCTTGGGCCGGGCTCTTGGGCCGTTGTCAGTTGTCCGTTCCAACGTATGAACCAATAAACCATTAATTCCAATCAGCCTGAAGCCTAGGCCGCGACCGCCATTAATTGTACATTGTAGATCGTGCAATGCAGTGACTTGTAGATGTCAGGCACAAAGCCCTGAGAGCCCTGAGCCTTGAGGCCTTCCCTGACCAGTTCAGTTATGCACTAGTAGACTCCCTAGTAGACTCCCCGCCTGGCTTTTCTTGCCAAGCGCTGACAGTTTCCTTGCTTCTAGATTCTAGATTCTAGATTCTAGAATCTAAAGTTATCTAAAGTATAAAGTCTAGAGATTCTTGAGTTTAGAATCTAGAGTCTAGAGTCTATAGAGAGTTCACAGACCACAGCAGGCGCCCGTGCGAAGCGGGTACGTTGAGTACGTTGCTCAGATGGGATGCAAGCGTTCGTGGTGTTTGCTGCCCCTGTTGGTCGGACGCAGCGATATTGCCTGTGCAAAAACGACCCTAGGCCCAAGCCCGGCAATCAGTTGCATTTCCCATTTCGGTGTGTGTGAGCAATTTGATCAAAAGCTATTATCCTAGAATCTTTGTGTAGTGTCCACACTGTCCACACTTTTCTATCAAAGTTAGTTAGGAATCCGTCCCGCCCCCAGCTTCTAAATTTGGGTCCCAACTTGGATCCGTGCTAGCCAGTCCGTGCCACCTCTCGACTCGACGAAGCACCGAGTCACCATGGGGGGAAAGCGTGTTGCAGCCAGTCACAGATTGGCGCCAAAGTCCAAGATGAAGAGACCGGCTGCAGCTGCCAAGGAAACCTCGGCTGTGACGGAGAAGATAGAAGATGACAAGGAGCTGTCCAGCGTGAAAGAAGAACCGGAAGCCTCTGCTGAAGAGGATGACATCGACGAGGAGTCAATGGCGGCGACTCAGGACGACGATCCTAGCCGTCCTAGCCCCACTGCCGGTAACGCTTCGGATGATGTGGCTACGTCCCCGTGTCGGTCTCCATCTTTGGACGACAAGCCCGACGCTGATGGTGATTCGGAAGAGGACGATAACCTTGACCAGCATGAAGAGATGGAATACAGGACGCCCTATGTGCCTGTCATGGTCGAAACAGGCAACCAGGCCAGTGGCGAGTACAACAACAAGTCGCGGCCCTTCCACTTGGATGGCCATGAGCAGCTGGTCGAGTGGATGGCAGAGGCATTGAGCTTCCTTGATGACGGCGACAAGGCTGATTTCTTGAGCTGGTTTGAAGCAGGACCGCCTCAGATGCTGGTGGGCAGTGCTTGCTCCGGCACAGACTGCGGAGTATTGGTCGCCAAAGCCTTTTGCAAGGCTTGCAAGAACGTCTTCGGCACGATGCCGGAGATGCGCCATGTTTTTTCCTGCGAGGAAGCGAAGACGAAGCAAGACTTTCTGAGGAAGATGTACCTGTACACTTGGGATCACATCGATATGGAAGAGCTCTTCGCAAATACCAGCGACTTGAGTGCTGGAGTGGGAACAGCCTGTCAGAGCGTCTTGCGAGAAGATGGAACACGCGACAGCACCGTGCCCAGCTGCAACATAATGATGGCAGGCTTTCCATGCCAGGATGTGAGCCGCTTGAATCCGCGAGCCGATGGCTGCCGTTGGGTGGTCCGTGATGCTGAGAGAAGGACTGGGAAAGTCTTCAATCATATCGTCACCTATGTCAAAAGTCTCATGGAAAATCCTGCCACTTCGCAGGACTTTCAAGGGCTGCTGCTCGAGAATGTCCTGGGATTGGCTGCTCCACCCAAAGGTGAGGATGAGCATGGCCAGCCCTGGCATTCAAACTTGGACTTTTGCTGCTTCCAGCTGAAGAACATTGGTGTGCTCGCAATCCCCTTCCAACTGGACCCGCAGATGTTTGGCATGCCGGTGTCCAGACAGCGTATCTGGATAGTTGCGGTTCCCCTCTCCTTACTTGAGGGCACGGAGATCTCGGAGGTTGAGGCTGTTGCCATGGCTCAGGAGCTTATGAACCGCCTCGTGCGGTCGACGGCTTCCAGGCGATGTGTGAAGGATTTCATCCTGCCGCGTGAGCATGAGATGGTGGAACGCGAGATGGCCAGGGCTGTGGAGTTGGATGAGGGTCGGACCACAAGATCCGCTACAAGAGCCAAGCCTACGAAGTGGGCGGAACGCCACAAGAAGGCCTTGACAAAGTCAGGACGGGACTGGTGGCTTCCATCAGTTCCATCGGCAAGTGTGCTACAGGCATTTCCAGGGCTGAGAGCGCTCACAGAACGGAAGTTCGACCTGTGCGCGCTGAGGCAAATCAAGTTCCCAGATCCTCGACCTGCTTGTGTCGACCTGTCACAGAACCCCCGCGGCAACGATGGTTTCCGGCAGAACCATTGTGATATTATCACACCGCAGGGGGTGCATCTGGTGACTCATGAAGGTCGTTGCTTGTCTGGGTTCGAGATGCTTCTCTTCCAAGGGATCCACTTTGGACAGGATGAGAGTCGAGTTCAGGAGATCGGAGACGCTCTCTTGAGATCCCTGGCAGGCAATGCGTTTCAAGCGCATTGTTGTGCAGCTTCCTTGGTGGTGCTGAAAGCATTGCGTGCCAAATTGTTGGCTGCTCGTGCCCTCGCGCAGAAGTCCAAGGAAATGACCACCGGCATAAGCATCGGCGCAAATGATTGGCAGCGGAGATCTAGCACCATCGATGATCTCGTGAGCTGGGCGGACGATAGTCAGCCGTGCTAGACTCGAGTCTAGGATGACTAGACTCACTAGTCACTAGACTAGACCAGAGACTTGTCTGGTTTAGAGTAGATAGTCGCGGGAGTGGCCTTCGCTTCTGGATTGCTAAGTATCTACTGGATCTACCGACTACCGATCTACCTCCAGTTACTCTAGTGACTAATTAACTGGTAACATAGCAACTTAGGTATCTTAGTAATTAATATAACGATATATAATATATAATATATAATATATAATATATAATATATAATATATAAATATAGAATATATTAATATAATATGTCTATATATAGCAGCATAATATATCATTATACATATCAGAACGTAGTAGATTTATATATTTATTTATTAGGTTACATAACATAGTAAAGACGGTATGTCTATATATATATAATGTTATATATTATATATATTATACTATATACATAAATATATTTCATAATGGCGCTGTATAATGAATAGACATAACATATTTGTTGTAACAGACACTATACTATAGTCACTATAGTCACTATACTACTATACTTTTTTAATTGTAGTTGCTCTAATTACTATAGTACTGCAATATACCATAATGCATTATGTCATACCATCTAACATAGTTAGTAAACTGTATAGTATAGAATAGTACAGCAAGTACTTAATTCGACATAATAGATTGAGCAGCTTTTTGTGCTCAGGCCAAAAGACATAAATAAGTTGCATTATTAAACCATCAAGCTGTTGCTTAAGAGAGTTCTTGGTTAGGATTACGGATATGAAGAATAGTATCTAAGACTTATAAGAACTTAGCACATCCATTCGAGTTTGCAGTGGACTTGCGTGGGCCACCACAGCGCACGCTCGTTCGGGTCAGTTTTGATTTCCGCTTTGGACGCCGCTGATGCACGGTTGCAGAAAAATGTTGGATGGCTCGAGGCTAGTGCTGTATGCCCGGCCCATCTGCCTACATGTGTCGTCTGTGTTGCAACCCCCAAGTATGGCCGGAAGAGAGATTCCAGAAATAGGAGGTGTAGGCGTGCCGTGGGCGATGTCATGTCTGACATACACATTTCTGTAATTGTCGTTTCCGTATGATGCACAATCACGGTGTTCTCGTATGTTCTCTGCCTTTCGCACTTGAGGTACTTCGAAAAATGCCTGGCTCGACGAGGCACTTTGATCTGTTTCTTGATGCTTCCAGCAGGTAGTCATCTCAGTGCGAGAAAGTCTCCCATATCGGCCTTGACCTTGCGCTTGCAGTGATATTGACATTCTCGTGTGGAGCATTTGTCGCCGCCGTTCTTGATGAGAGCTTTTGGGACGTGAATCCAGTGATCATCTGTTTTGAACAGTGCGTGCTGATTCGACATGCCGGGACCCGGAAGTGAGAGTGGACTCTCGCTGCCCAGTGTCGCCAGTGTGGCCGTGACAAGTGTTTCGATTCAGAGCCCCCATTGGGGGACGAACAGCTTCAAGGGGTGTCGCTTCTGTCGTCGTGACAGAACCTGTGCGAACCCTATCGTGGTGGCAAGGGCCACGAAACCCTTCCTACAGTTTAAGAGCGAGCGTCACTTTGATTGCTTGCTCTGCCTCGGAAAGATCAGGCGGAGCAACGGCAGTGTTGTGACGAGTGAACAGCACAAAGGCTTTGCCAACAAGCTCGCCACGGACGAGGACGCCTACAATACGCACATGACCGAGCTCGCTGAATACGAGGCCAGTTTGCAGGACAAGGACAAGAGCCGCAAGCGAAAACGAGTGGTGGAAGAGGCGCATGGGCCCGAATAGTGAACTTTTCCGTTGGTTTCACGCACGCACGCACGCACGCACGCTCGCACGCACGGTTTTCAGACTCTTGGTCCGTCTTAGACCTCGTAAATGAAAAAAACTGACTAGTGGCTGACGAGTGACTAGTGACTAGTGGGTAAAGTGACTAGACTACTGTATTTCGGTTTTCACTCACACGGGCCCACGGCCTGATTCTGAACAGGCAGGGGTGACCGAAAACATCAGGAGGATATGTTACTATGCATGCGATCAGATGCTATCATTATCAGTGTCACTTGTTATTCATCCCGAGGCCCTACGTGGTAGACTCGGGTAGACTATACTATACTATTCAGAATGACTCGTGACAAATCACTAGGCAGACTAGGCCCCTAGGCCGCAGGCCCCGATCCCTGCCCAGGACCCAGGCTCTCAATTCCTTTTGGTTGAAACCTCAAGCTCAAGTCACAGTCAGATGCTAGAGCTGCTAGCTGCTAGATTCTGCTAGATTGTTTGCGAAGGAACCCGAGACCGGCTTTGAGCGCGCCAGCAAGGTGCTCATGTCGCAAGAGAGTGGTGTCGAAGCCAGGCAACTTCTTGGAATCCTTTGGCCGAGCGCTATCTACAAGCAGCACACCGGCGAGGATCCCAAGCCCGAGTGGCTGACCAAGATGCAGATTGGTGGCTCAACGGTGGTTGGTGTTCTTCGGGACCCTGCCTTGGGCCAGCCACAAGGCCGTCCTTGAAGGTGAAGTAAGAGCAGGCTGAGAAGAATCCATCTTATTGTTTGGGCCCATTATCCACTGTAACAAGGCTTTTGTTCTGTATATGTCAGCCCGACACTCTGTCTCGGTTGACCTCGACCCGACTTCCTAAAATCTAACCCAAACTCTTGAGTCTTGTCGTGGGGACTACTTATACTTGAAGTGGTTGTCGGTTTAGGTTTAGGATTATGGTTTCGTCTTCGGATTAAAGTTCAAGTTAAAGGTTTGCCTTGAGGACTCTGAAAGCATAAGCCACGCTCCACCACTGAGCCTTTGAGTTTTGTGTTGTAGGCCCGGGAGCTTGTGAGTATAGGAATCCATGTTTCGAGGTAGTGGAATTTATATACTACCGTGTACCAGCATACGTCGTGTGTGTTCCCATGCTCAAGACTTAGACTTGGACTAAGACGTTAAGTTTAGACTCTAGATAGACTCTGGACTCTAGACTCTAGACTCTATAGACTGTAGACCCTAGACTGAATGGGGTGGGTGGGGCTATGGGGTATGTTCCTAGATTTGGAGTTGGGCCGTGGGTGCAGGTTGCTTACATTCCTAGATCTGGTGCGAGATTGGGGGTGGGGAGTCTGTCAAAAGGGTAGGTTTTGGGTGGGGCGGTTGGGGGACAAGGGGTGGTTTTGGAGGACTCTAGGACTCTTAGACCTTTGTCTTAGACTCTGGCCCCGACTCCCAGAAAGTAAAGATTGTGAAGGACCGGAGAATCCTTTATAACTTTACCCACTAAGCTTCCTTGCTAAACCATGCTATGCTGCAGTACCGTATGTTTCCATGGTCCATGCTGTTTGTTTGCAGGCACCTACGAAATGACCGATTTCAAGCGTGCCTTCGGTGCCAACGTGCTGACTGCAGCTGACTCAGAGGATGCGATCGGCAACGAGATGGATGAGACCTGGAAGCGCGTCCAGGCGCTCAACGCTGTGGGCACCACCCAGGCTCTCCGATGCGATTTCACTTAAGTTGAGGTAGTAATCACTAATCATCGCTACAACTCTTCTGATTCACTAGATTTGGATTGACTAGATTCTTTTCTTCAGTCCCTATAAAATCAACGGGGCGTGACAGATGTTTATGTTGTGTCCGAGGCATACCGTCATGTCGTGGTCCTGGACCGACCCCTATGTAGCGGTTGACGGGCTCTTAAGGCGGTGGTGTTCTGCTCAGGCCGAGAAGGATGGGCAAACCTACATGCTCTTGGATGCTGTTTCCTCGGGCAAACGAAAAGATGACAGCTTCGATGATCTTCTTGACTTCGCGCCGGCCGTGATCAACCCTGCGTCAGGCGTCAGTATGATTAGCCAGTAGGCCCAGTAGGCCCCAGCAAGATGTATGAGTCAACCTCAGCTAGAGGCATAGAATCATATACAGTCGCATCGCTTCTTGCTTCTTGGTCGTAGTCGCACACTCATAGTGAAAGATTATGCCATAATTGTGCAGAGGCAGCGGTGGAGGAGAGCCAAAGGGAAGACGAGGCAAAGGTGCTGCGAAAGGAAGAAACTCGGGAGGTGGCCGCGGTTCCAAGGACACTTCTGGGCAACTTCCGCCAAACCCGTCGCAGCCGTCGCAGAACAAGAGCCCAGCCGCTACGAAGCAGACGAAAGAAATCCAAGCTAGCGAGCGTTTGCTGCTCGAGGCAGACCAGATGTTGGAGAATCTGGCGAATGAAGATGCGATCATGACTGTCAAACCCAAGGCATTGGGTACCGTGTGCGATCGCCTTCAGAACAGGCTCACCCCGGCACTCTGTGCCATCTACTGCCAGGGCTACGATGCTTCCGATCCTTCTGCCGCTGCGACGCCCGGAATGACGTGCTTGGAGAAGCTCAGGCAAAAGCAGCGTGTGCTGGGTAGCGTGAAGGACCACTTGGTTGCTCATAGTAATGTGATGACCGTGTCGAGTCATGATGGGCTTTTGGGAGCTGCAGAGAAGCCATGCAAAGGTTGAGTTGCATGTAAAGTCGACTAAACTAAAGTAACTAAACTAAAGGCTGCAGTCCAGTCTTAGCAGACTTAGCAGACTTAGCAGCATGTATGCCAATGTATGCTGTACACTGTACACTGTACACTGTATACTGTATGCCCCTTTTCCCCCGCCCGTCCGCCGCAGGACTTGGTCGCTGGCCTTCACGAGACCAAGACGACGGGGCAGAATTTGTACAAGGCTGCGGTCGCTGCCAAGAGCGACGACTTCAAGCCCGTCCTCAAGTGCTATGAGATCGCGCTCCAGCGTGCCGTCGACTCGGCGGCGACTGAGAAGGACTACCCGACCATGATGACCCTACTGAAGGAGGATCGGACTTCCTTCAACCTCTCGATCCTTGAGGATGCGGACAGGCAGGCAAGATTCCAGGAGCGTGAGGTTACGCGGCTGTGTGTGTCCTTGCTTGCCGAAGACAACCGCGTGAACGAGGTGGCCTCACTGGTGAATGTTGTGTTGGGCCCGACATCTTGCCTGCCAGGGTCGAGCTCCGTCCGTAAGGAGTTCGAGATGCTTTCGCTGATCTTGTTTCCAATGCAGCCGGAGCTTGATGTTGCGAAGCTGGAGGCGACTGCGGGCCAGTTTCGCGAAGATAAGAACTTGACTCTCCACAAGGTCATGACCAATTTCCCCACCGGCCTTCTCATCTTGGATGGTGTGGCACAGGCTGTGGTCGCTCGACGTGAGGACGAGCGCCAGGTGCTGAAGCTGAAGGAAATGCTCGACAGCGTGGCCAAGGTTTCCGCACTTCCCGATGGTCTTACCAATGTAGACGAGATGAAGAAATTGGTCAAGCCCATGGAGACCATTGCCGAGACATATGCGGAGGCCGGCACGTAAGTCCCAACTGTCCTAATACCCTAGGCCCTAGGCCCTAGGTCCTAGGTCCTAGGTCCCATAGGTCCTAGGTCTATCTTCTATTCTAGGTCCCAGGTCCCAGGTCCTAGCTCTAGGTCCCAGGTCCTAGGTCCTAGGTCCAGGTCCTAAGATCCTAGTCATAGATCTTTTGTCTAGAAGCCCATCAGGTCATGAGCGCCGGCAGTCCGCAGTTCAAGGCCCAGCACGAAAGCGAGCTCGCGGCCATCTCGACACCGTTGGAGGCCCTAAGTTGGCTTGTGTCAAAGTCTGGTTTGAGTCTGTGCACTCCGCACCATGAGGTCTGGCTGAGTTTACTTGCTATTGAAAAGAGTCTAATAAATAACTATATTGAGTTTCATTCGTTAGCAGTAAGAACCAATTGCTACCGAATTATTTCTGATTGTTGGCTGTTTATCAACTGGTATTACTGTTAAGCTCTTAATTCTGAACTATCAACTACTATGCTTAGTACTATGTATAGTTACTCAGTTGCTTTATTCTGCTTTGTTATAAGTTATAACTGAACTAGTCTTCTGACGAAAGGACTCTGTCGGATGCTGAAAATGATGGAACGATGGCCATGCGATTGGTGTTGATCCTTTGCTCCACCGTTTTTCAATATGCCGCATGTGCAGGCGACCGTGAAGAGCATCAAGGCCGCTTTGCGGGCTTCATGGTTTGCTGCTGCGAAGCCGTGCTTCGCACGTGTGACAGAGTTCCTTTCGGAAATCAACGGTGGCACGCGCAAGGAGCTGACCGATGCCGAGAAGGAGGAATTTGAAGGCTTGCGTGAGGCCATGCATTCCGTTGCACACCCTGCCGATATCTTGGGGAGTTTCTTGGAGCAGGAGAAAATGGCAGATATTGCGCAGGACCACAATGAGATCCGCAATGCTGCTGAGGTCCTCCGGCTGACGTTCTCAAAGCTGGTGGAAGGCTCCTGGGACATGTCTTCGGATGAGAACATGGATGTCCTTGTGTCCATCTTGCAGAACCCCTCGCGCATCAAGAATGACATGGCCGAGTTTAAGGCTTTCCAGGCGGTCGCAGACAATCGGCTGTTGTTCATGGCCAAACAGCACCTGATGAGCATCCTCCAGCCTTTGCTGAAGCCTTTGGGAGCCCAGCAGCTTTTGGGTTTCATGACCGGCAAGTGTGATACCTCACCCTTCGGTGAGGCAGCAGGCGACTGCGGTGATTGCGATGTCGACAGGATCACTGAGGCCAGCAAGGCATGTGCCCACGCATCCAAGACACTGGCATCCTGGCTTCACAAGGATCTGCCGGACTTCGACTTGGCAGTGGCCTCTGCCACACGTGACCAAGCTGTCATGGAGGGCGGTGCCGACGAGCAGCCGCTCGAGCAGATCTGTGTGAAAGCTTGGATGACCTGTGGATTTCCAGTCTCCTTCAAGCTCCTTGTGTCCGTCATGCGATGCTCAAAGCTCCAGGCCCACATCGAAGGCGCGGAAAAATGGGAGGTGGCGAAGCTTGACGAATTCGTCAAGCAAATCGCGGCCAGCCATGCTGATCTGATTGACTTCAAGAGTACGATGGCAACCATAGAGCTGCGTACCGATGACGCCGAAGGAGCCAAAATCTACTTCTTGAACAAGTTTGCCGGCTTGGCGACCGACCAGATGTCGAAGGCATTGGCGGCAGTGTTGCAGAAGTTCTACGATGCTAGTGCTGCGGTTCACGAGACCTTGGACACGCATGCCGCAGACGCCACCATCAACACAATCGAGGAACTGGTGAATGAGGGCTGCGGGGATGACCGTCGCAGCAAGCTGCTTGAAGTTGCCCAATCGAGGGCCTCCAAAGACTTGCATATCTCCTTAAAGTCGGTTGAGAGCTTTGCTGAGCTGTTCGGCCCCTTGACGGCGTTGGAGGAGCTCAAGGATGCGTTCGCCTCTCCGATTGTCATCCTGCAGAAGGCCAAGTTGCTCTATGCGCGTGATGCAGTGAGCGGTGCGAAGCGGCTCAACTGCATTTTGGCGAGCGTGCAAGGACTCTTTCGTCCGCTCAAAGCAGATGAAACAAGAGGCAAGCTAGCGAGAAGAGTCAGGGCAATGGCATCGACAAAGCAGTGCCGTTTGCCCCCGAACCTTGATATGTTGGTGACAAAGCTAGCGGCTGCTCCAGACCAGAAGCCTTGAGCCGCCTCATTGCCACACTGAAAGTGTGATGTTGGGGACTGCGGAGCGCTGGGGTTGCCTGCTCCCACTTTTTGTACACGTGCCATTTGTCCAGCCTGCCTTTTGGGCCGGTTAGGGGCTTATACGGCTTAGTGCGATCATCTAGTCTGAGGTTGAGCCTCTGAAATGTTCGGCTTGATTCAACAAGTTGCGCCGAGCCGAGCCAAGCTTACGCCTTAGGAGAGTCATCAACAGAGTTTCAAGTCGTCTTAAGGCCTAAACGTAGTGTCAAGGTAGAATATTAAGTCTTTGGGTCTTTGGGGCTACTAGCTTAAGGCTAGCTGCTGCTAGCTGCTAGCCGCTAGCCGCTAGCCTGTAGGACTGTAGTACCCCTAGGAGGCCTTAGGTCAAAGCCGAAGTGTAAAGTCCCCGTTCTAGCATGACTCTGGTGATAGTTTGGCTTGGCAGGAGTTCTGAGCCCCGCTGAATCGACAGCCGAGAGAAAACCCCACATATGGCGTGCCACGTATTGTTGAGCTCACTTCCTCTTGCACATTTGTTGCTGCAATTGTTTCGCTTGCATTGGACAATCGGCAGGCGTTCCCGCTACGGCGGGTCCAGGCGCATTGCTCTTTCATCTGCATGGGGCCAGCGGCCAAGATAAGCGGTTTGCAGCCTTTGCACGTATATTAAATGGTCCTATTGCCCTATTGAGTATTGAGCATTAAGCTCGAACTTCCAGGATGCTGCCGGCTTGGACATTCAGCTCAGCTTAATAATGATAATGAAGCATTTCCGTCAATTCTGAGAAGCTCATAAGATCATCGGATGCCAAGGTGATTGCTACTGATGCGACAGCCGTCATCAAGCGGCATTGTCGTGGCTGGCGAGTGGAAAATCATACGCTGATTGCGCAGTGGTGCTACCGCAGACATGTCAAAACTCATGTTCGTGGAACCAGCCCTTGAACTTTAACTTCAAATTCTCCCTTGAAGGGATGAAAACCAGCCCTTGATGTGTGGAAAAGGCACCTTTAAAGCGATCAAAACCAGCCCTTGATGTGTGGAAAAAACGCCTTTGAAGTGTCGAAATAAAGCCCTTGAAGTGTGGAAAAAAAGCCCTTGAAGTGTGGAAAAAACGCCCTTGAAGTGCGGAAAAGCGGCCCTGGGAGTGTGGACAAATGGGCCTTCTCATCCATCATGTAGTGTTCGTTTAAGTAAGGATGACCCCCTAAAGAATAGTTGCCGAGGGGTCCGTCCAACCCTAAGCCCTATACCCTTATAGAATCCCTATAGATCCCTTTAAAGGGACATCAAAGGGTCCCTCTTTTTCCCCTTTGATTAGGGTTACTGTATGGGGGGCAAGTACCCAACCCTTGTTTAGGATACCTAGTTTTGTGGTTTGGGTCAGTTTTTCGAAAATTAGGTACCTTAAACAAGGGGTTGGGTATGAGCCTCTAGGTACTCTATGGGGGGCAAGTACCCAACCTAAGCCCAGGGCCGAACTCAAAGCTCCTTCAAGCCGGAACCCAAAGCCTTCCACCCTTAGGGTTTTACGGTTTTAGGGTTTTGGGGTTTTGGGGTTTAGGGTTTTAGGAGTTTAGGGTTTTAGGGTTTTAGGGTTTAGGGTTTAGGGTTTTAGGGTTTTAGGGTTCTTGGGTTTTTAGGGCTTAGGGTTTTAGGGTGTAGGGTTTAGGGCTTAGGGCCCAAAGCTCCGTCAACCTTAGGATGTGGTGATCTTGGTTCGAACTGGGCCACAGACGTGGAGGCATGGGTTTAGGGTTCGGGGCTTACGGTACCCTCAACCATAAACCCGCATGCTTAAAACCCTGGTTTTTACACAAGCACTTTGTCGACACATGCATCTATACTGCAAAAAGTCTGACAAATGTGACCTGCTTCCTGACGCTTCTTTTACCAATCCTGCCAAGCGGGTATAGATTTACAGAAAGCTCTCCTTAATTGAGGGTTTGGGAGTCGCTGAGTCCTTGGCCCCCAACCCTAAACCCTAAACCCCTAGTTATAAGGGGTCTTTTAAGGGTCCCTTTAAAGGGATCTATAGGGATTCTATAAGGGTATAGGGTTTAGGGCCAAACCCAAAACCCTAAACCCTTCTCTTCTTTTCCCTCAAGCTTTGGGGATTCAGGGCTGTGGGTGACGAATTTTCCGAGCTACTTGGAGGTTCATGGGTAGTTATAAGGGGTCTTTTAAGGGTCCCTTTAAAGGGATCTGTAGGCATTCTATAAGGGTATAGGGTTTAGGGCCTAAAGGGGTTTAGGGGTAGTTCTAAGTGGAGTTATAAGTCCCCTAATATGGGTTATAAGTACAGCTACCCTACTTATACCCCTGCTTGCAACTACCCATGAACCTCCAAGTAGGTCCGGGGCCTCAAACGCAGCAACGCAACAGAAGAACGCGGAACCGCTGCCGAAGCAGTAGTGCTCTTCTTGTGCAGGCCTGATTATAGGGACCCAAAAAGGCACATAAGCATAAGCATTTGATAGGCATATCCCTGCCTTATTGGGCTTCCTTATACGGGGGTTTGTATGGGATATCCCTATCCTAATGGTTGCTTATGTGCTTTTTTGGGGCCCTACATTATAAGATTCTGTCCGTCTGAGTAATTCCTGGAGCCGGGTTGTGGTTTTACGGCTTGGGGCTTGCAGGTTGGCCAGGTTCAAAGGGGAAAAGGAGGGACCCTTAATGGGTCCCTTTGAAGGGATCTATAGGGATTCTATAGGGGTATAAGGTTTGGGGGTTGAGAGGTTTTGGGGTTTAGGGGAAAAGGCGGGACCCTTAATGGGGACCCCTACCCTCTCATGGACCATATAATGGGGATAGAATG